AGATTAGCCACCTATGCTGCCAGATACCAAAAGATGGTTATTATTTATTCCAACTTGCACATGGGTGGCTTTGGGGTAGTAGGTGTGTTGTGATCCACAAGAACCAATTCAAATTTTGCACGATTAGCCACCTATGCTGCCAGATATCAAAAAATGGTTATCATTTATTCCAACTTGCACAGGGTTAGGCGGTTCACCACGATTCAAGGAGCAGGGGCTGCTTATCTATTCACTTTGAAGGTTGAATTGAGGAAGTGCGAGTATGCTGCATACTTGCGGCGCGTAGATGAAGTGTGTTGCATGGTGCGCGGTGTCGCGCGTGCGAAAAAAAAAAAAAAAAAAAAAAAAAAAAAGTGATGTGCGTATAAACGTTGGAGAGAGAGAGAGAGAGAGAGAGAGAGAGAGAGAGAGAGAGAGAGAGAGAGAGAGAGAGAGANAGAGAGAAAGAGAGAGAGAGAAGGCACAAAGCCCTTTCACATTATTCGGACAACCCCTGCCGGTACTTCAAAAGGTCATTGCCAAAAATTGGCAAGGGTCCCGTCGGCAGAAGAAGGGTGGTCACTGGACAGCTCATCACTGGACTTGTAGTAAGGAGGGAGCAGGCCAACCATATATCGTGTAGCATCAAATTCAGGTCCGTGTTTTACTTACTAACTCAACATGTGATTTTCATGGCTTCACTCCACTACTCACCAAATGTGCGAAATAGAATGAATCTTCTCCTATAAACTGGAACCATACAAACCATATGTTTTTCTTTTCTACAAGTGCTGATGAGTGGAGCAAGGCCTTAGGGCCACTGCACGTAAGAATTGGAAAAACAAGAAACGAGACAACTACTACATGTGCAAAACTAGAATGAATCTTCTCCTAGAAACTGAAACCATACAAGCCATACATTTTTCTTTTCTGCAAGTGCTGATGAGTGGAGCGAAGCCCTTAGGGCCACTGCACGTAAGAAAAGGAAAAACAAAAAAACGAGACAACAACTGTAGTGTTTGTAGTAAGTTTGTAACCGATAACTCTTGGAACACAGACCTTAATCCGAAACCAGAATATATTATTGGCATGCTCGTGTTCTTATCAATGCAATGAATGTCATTCCAAATGAATGGGATTCGCGCTGATTCTTGGCAGAGGACCCTTGGGAAAGGAGAATATTACCAATGAGTAGTACGAAGTGGCCCCAAAGTATTCTCTTTCTGTGCACTTACAACTTACAAGTTTTAAAAGGGAGGGACACTTATGGGTACCACGGCCTACCCTCTTTGATTATTATTATTTTTTTAAAATGTGTTGCATCATGTGCTCGCAGACGTGTGCGCATGCGTTGTACGACGCACGTGTGCAACTTGCGTGCACGTGATGCGCCGCATGTATGGTATGTTGAGATCTATTTGGACTCATCTCTGTTTACTTTCTCCAAAAAGATCGTGGATGAATTTGCTGATTGGGTGTTTTGCTTCACACACTGGGAAACTTGGTCTGAGAAATCGGTGCCGACAGGGCGGCTCGGTGATGGTCTAGGGGGCACTTTCCAGTACGAGGGGCACTTTGATGGAGCCTCAACACGTTTGAGCTTTCACTTTTAGTTTTACATTTTGAAATTTTATTCTATCAATTACTTCTTACTATTTGTTTGACTCTTTTAGAATAGGACGGTTGACGTTGGGGAACTTGGGGCTAGCAAGTTTTGTGGGTACCCTTTGGGATTTATCTTTTCCATTTTTTTGGACAAGGTTGAAAAATGTGGATGGTTTAATGGGGCTTATGGGTCGCCCCAGGCATATAGGTACCAAAGCAGACTTAGACTTCCAGAGTTTTCGCGTCAGGATTACCTCTCTTGCATCTGCACGGTTTCACATTTTCGTTAGGTTGTTTTCTTGTCTTCAACTAGACTCTTTCTCATCCACATCGGTTCTAGATAGTTCTAAGTCACGACCCTCTCCTGCTTCTAAAGGCTTGTTTATTTTTCTCATTTGTTTTTCTTTGACTTCTGAATTGCTTTAGTCCTACATGACCTGGATATATTTGGCATCAACATGACAATTAGGGCCATAGCGATGGTATAACTAGGATGTACAAGATTTGGTCCTCACCTTCGCGACTCACTGCAGGCCCCTGACGAGTACAGGTTATGGCGAACGGTTGAAACACACCATAGGGTCGCTGTGTGATTAGCCGAGTTAACACAATGCTCTATCTCATAGTTGACTCGGTATATATTGGCAGTTCTTCATGAATATATTCTGGTATTGATCATGTTCGGGACTTGCTGGGGTGGTTGTGTCTTCCTCTTATCGTCTTCTTCATCCTCTTTCTTCTTCTTCTTCTTCTTCTTCTTCTTCTTCTTCTTCTTCTTCTTCTTCTTCTTCTTCCTCCTTTTCTTCCTCCTCCTCCTCCTCCTCCTCCTCCTCCTCCTCCTCCCCCCCTTTTCGTCTTCTTCTTCTTTGTTCTCCTCTTCCTTCCTATGTTTTGTTCTTGCTTGTGCTTTTGAGTGGATGATAACTGCTATTCATTATTAAATTGTGCTATTAACAGTCATAAGTGGCTTAACTAGAGCATCATCATGTCGGGAGGTGCTTGCAAAATAGTCGATTAGGCAAAACCCTGACCCAAGGGAAAATGGGCAGGGACTATCTGTTGTCTTCCATGACTGGACCAAGCTGGATGCCGCCAACCCATTGAAGCCGCTCTCAAAGTTTCCATACCTATTCCCACCCCATTCCCTCTCCCTGGTAGATCGAAACTGCTATGGGATGAATTAGGAAGGGGGAGGAAGACAAACAAAGGGATGGGCCGAGATGGAAGGGCAAGAGGGAAGACTGGAAAATATGGGAAGCGTAAAAGTGCAATCAGACTCGGCTTATTCACTCTTTTCATGTATGTAAACAGCGGCACAGCACACTGGCGACAGGCGCCCAAACAGAACTCAGGGATATGGCTTCCTGGTAACTGTTCGCTTCCACTGGCTATGGCGACCGAGCGCCCAAACAACTCGCTGTTCACACACTGGATCACCCTGGATGTCCCACACGCGATACTCAGAACACACACACACACACACACACACTGCACACTAGCTACAGCTATGGCGGCTATGGCCGCCGCTAACCTATCGCTATGGCTACACTACGTCACTCTCACCCACTTCGGCTCCGGGCCTCCTGCAGACCTCCTTGCACAAGACGCTGAAGCAGCGCTTCTGCATGCATGAATGAATGGCTGGGCGCAGCCTCTTGATTTATATTTCTGTGATGCGTTGGTCTGCCCTGTAACCCCTGGCCCATCGTGCACACAGTCCTAGGCGGTACTTGCTTGACTGGACCGGACTGGGTGGACTGGGACCGCTGACTGTACGAGGTGGACTGCCACCACTTGACCACTTGCCTCTGCCTAACGTAGGCTGACTCTGAAAGGCCACTTCTAGAAACCTCTAACTTGGCCTTTCGGTACTGTAGCAGCTACGACTTTGCCCTTTCAGGTAAGTAGCAGCTACGACCTTGACCCTTCAGGCAGTCTACAGCTACGACCTCTGACTTCTACCCGACAGGTCTACAGTTCGAATCCCTGCTACCCCGTATCCTACGAAATCCTACCTACCA